GTTTTATTGTGGTTCCTTACAGAAGCAGAAATGACTCAAAGACAGCTATATCTCTAAAGTCACCCTGGCATGGGTGATAAGACATAAAAGCTTGGGATCTGGAGGACACTGCACAGCCTGCAAGAAACTCAACAGGCTGAAGAATGTCCTTTGCAGGTGGCTTGGTTGGTCTGAGCCTCTTCCAGAAAGCTCTGCTGGACTTTGTGTCTTCTAGGTCTCTGCTTCTTCCAAGCAGCTGGGGTTGTGAGATAGAGACAGTCTTCACTGCTTATAAACTACCCTCCCTAGTAAAACCACTCAGTTTCAGGGACTTCCTGAAGCTATTCTGAGTTGTTTACTTCTTGTCTTAGTGAGCTTCCCTGAAGGATGGAATGATAACACCCCATAGCAAGAACTGCTTCTTTTCCTCCCAAACTCAGTGTAGATGCTGTTCTGCCTATTTGCGTAGTAAGTGTTGTGTGGGCTCTATTTTTTATTTATTTATTTATTTGTTTATCTATCTATCTATCTATCTATCTATCTATCTATCTATCTATCTATCTATTATGAGCTTGATACAGTATAAATTCTTGTCCTAATAGTGAAATGTTTCATTGAGGCTTGCCCAGTAATTAAGTAAAACCAAAACTTATTATAAGCCACAGTCATCCTAGGGTCCCCCCTGCTATATAGCCTCCTTGGTTCTGTGGGTTTCAGTCTGATTGTTCTTTGGTGAAGCCCTGTTTTCACTGCTCCTCAAGACACTTGAGGGAACTTTGAGGTCTTTCAGGGCTCTGAGTAGAAGAGAGAAGAGGTAGACAGAGGGAATGCTTTGGTCCTGAAGTCTCAATTGCTAGGGATGGCTATGGGAGTAGCATGGGATTTTGGAGACTGTGTAGGAACAGAGTGTGTGCTTGGGAGTGTAAGCCAGAAGAGATGGCCTCTTATTGCCAAACACCAGATTTTAAAAGTGTGTGTGTGTTCCCGTGAGTGCAGGTAATCTGTGGATGTCAGAGATTGACATCAGGCATTGTCCTTATCATTCCTCGCTTTAGTTTGAGACAGGGTCTCTCACTGAACTTGCCAATCCAGCTCAACTGGCCTTTAGCGTCAGGCCCCCCTCTCTCTTCCTCATCACTGGGATTGCAGATTACACAACCTCACCTGGCGTCAGGGACCCCCTCTCTCTTCCTCGGTACTGGGATTGCAGATTACACAACCTCACCTGGCGTCAGGGACCCCCTCTCTCTCTCTTCCTCGGCACTGGGATTGCAGATTACACAGCCTCACCTGGCCTCGTTATGAGGTTCGTAGTGTTCAGCTTGGTAAACCCTTCCTTCGCCCACTGAGCCATCTCCCCAGCCCCATGCCACAGTTTTTTTAAAGTACTAGAGAATTCTGTCTCGCTTGTTTTAGTGTGGGAAGGATATAAGAGATGCTAAAGACTCTTCCTGTGACATTAGGGTATGGCCAGTGATCTATAGAGATAAAGGACATAGTTGTATGTTCTTGGTGATATTTAGGGACTGATGGAAGAGATGTGGTGTGTGTGTGTGTGTGTGTGTGTGTGGTGTGAAACACGCCTGTGATGTGGCATGAAGCTTCTGACCCTGAGGAGTATGTTTTTGTTTTTTTTTATTTTGCACCTGCCAGTTCAGTTCCCACCATGCTCCTGACCCCACTGTACCAGGAACGAGCCCCTGTGCCTTGCAATTTAGAAGGTGCAATTATGGCTCACTGCTATGGGTCCAGGTTTGAGTTTGCCCCAGTTGCATATTAGCTGTGTGATCCTGTGTAAACTGCTTAACAGTGTTATGCCTCCTGCGGCTGCTGAGACAATCCCCAGAGACGGTACACAGTGCTGGTGTAGAGTAAGTCCTCAGCCATGGGACACAAACTGACAGAATGGTACTAGTTACACTCCGATTGTACCAATGGCTGCCCTTGTCCGTCTTCTTCCCCTGAGGTCCGGAGCAGTGATCCATCTCACTTGGTGTACATAGACAATGCTGGCAACCTTCAGCATCCCGAGGACAAGCTGAACTTTCGGCTGCTGGAGGGCATAGATGGGTGAGGATCCAGGGCACTGGGTAGAGGTTTGAGGGATGAGGCTGGCCCTGCTGTAGACTCTGGAACCTTCAACTACAGGCCTTGAATGGCCAAAGTCCATCAGACCAAAGCTGGATCTGAGGCTTCTGGGACTGAGGAAGGCTGAGAGGGGCTACAGTCATAGGACCTGCCCCCCAGATCTAGAGGGCTTCTGGTCCCTGCTTCAGTGTCTGAAGGCTAGCTCATCCTGGATCTATGTGAAAGAGCTAGCCTGGGGATCTGCCCCTCCTTGTCTACTCCCAGTAGGCAACTCAACCTTCTCAGGGCCTTTTGGGGCCCTAAGTGTGCCCAGCTGAGGCCAGAGTGGTAGAATTGGTTCTCCAGGCTTCACTGTAAGGTGAGGCCTCTCTGAGAGCACTACCATCTGCTTTTATGACACAGCAAGTCACAGAATCCCCTGACAAGGAGCCAGCAGGCACAGACCTGGCATTTCCCTGGCTCATTTTGCTGGGTTCCCCAGGGGGCAAGTTCTGGGTTCATGTGGAGACTCTCTGAGCTCACTTATGCCTTTCCTTTCTTGCATGGGCTCTGGGACTTCGGCCCCAGGTTTCCTGAGTCCGTTGTGAAGGTTCTTGCATCAGGGTGTCTACAGAACATGCTGCTCAAGTCGCTGCAGATGGACCAGGTGTTCTGGGAGAGCCAAGGTGGAGCCAGAGGTCTGAAGCATGTCCTTGAGACACTGGAGAGGCGAGGGAAGGTCTTGCTGAGACACATCCAGAAGCACAACCTCACGCTTTTCAGGGACAAGGACCTGTGAGCCCATCTCTGCCTGGGCAGAGCACACCTTGCTGGAGGACTTCCCACAATGTAAGCCTGAGCTGGTGGGTGTTGGCCATCCTGTTGACAAATGGGAAAAGCCAGAAACGGGAGGAGCCTACAGTGCCACGGGATAGTCCCCCTGCTGGGGATGGTGGAAGGCCTCCGCCTCACATTCCTGTCTGCATCCTCAGCTCTGGCTATTTGCTCCCATGCAACAATAAAAGTGTTTAGGAATGTTCTGTGAACCGTTCCCTGCACATGTACATGCACTGCTGTGTGAGGTATGTAGATATACGCATGAACCTGGAACTTCATGCATGCTAGGCAAGTGCTCTACCAACTGAACTCACATGCCCAACCAGAGAAGCCTAATTTTTTTTTTTTAAGATTCATTTTTTAACTTAAAAATTTACTTTTAGGTGCATAGGTGTTTTGCCTGTCCATAAATTTGTGCACCATGTGCGTCCCTGGTGACTGCAGAGGCCAGAAGGGACCCCTGGGGCTTGAGTTAGACAACTGTGAACTGCCATGTGGGTGCTAAGAATTGAACCTGGGTCCTCTGGAAGAGCAGCCAGTGCTCTTAACCACTGAGCCATCTCCCCAGCCCCTAATTGTGTGTGTGTGTGTGTGTGTGTGTTACTCATGTGTTCGGGTGCCTTTGGAGGACAGAAGAGGACAATCAGACTGCCTAGTATGGGTGCTGGGAACTGAACTCTGTGTAATCCTCTATGAGAGCATACTCTTAACCATTAAGCTATCTTTCCAATGGCAACAGGGAGAGAAGCCCTTTATAAAAACTGAATTTCCCTTATAATTGTAGAAATTTTCTCCATCTCAGTGTTAGCCATTGCATGTTTTATGGGCCGACTTTTCAGTGTAAGATGTCTGTCCCTTCCTTGGTAGTGCGTTAGCTTGGACTCTGAGCTGCAGCTACACAGCCCTTTCTGTTAGGCTTGCTTGTGTTTCCTCTCTGCCATCTACAGCTTGACTCTGTCTTTGTGAAGTAGGAAACTAATTCTATGCAGTCAAACTTGTTGATTTTGCCTGAGTCTCCTGGGTTCCTGTCTTCTTAGGCTGTTTTCCTTCAGATCACAGAACTGTCATTGGTGTACTTTTACTTCAGTGCATATTTGTGTGAAATTTGCATTTGAAAGTGGCTTGAGTTAGGGGTGTAACTTAAGTTTCCTTGCTCCAGATTCTATTCAAGTGTCTATTCTGTTCCTACCAATCTGAAAGTATACTCTTATCAGATAAGTTCCCAAGCACACAGACGCCCACTTGTGAACTGTACTATGCCTTGCTGATAGTTTCTTAGCTCCCTGCTTCAACTGTTCTAATCAAAGTTACTTTATTCTGTCTGGTCGCACAAGTATCCACTTAAAAATATTAATTTTGTGTATGAGTGTTTTATCTGCATGTATGTCTGTGCACCACATGCATGCAGTGTCGGGAACTCAAGTTGGGTCCTCTGGGAGAGCATCTGATGCTCTTAACTGCTGAGTAATCTTTCTAGCCCTCTAGATAAATATTTATATGAGCCTTTAAGGGGAAAATCAAATTGTCTGTTTTATTTTTAATTTCTCTTCATTTACGATGTTGTGTGACCTTCATTGTTTGTTGGTTTGTTTTTTTGGGAGAAAGGCTGAATAACAGCTAGCAATATTTACATCTTACTCCCGACTTTAATGAGAGCATGTCTATGGTTTCACTGTTAAC